ACCCACCACTACCCACACCATGCCCAGCTGATGCGAGTGGGATGTGTACTGGGAACCTGCCAAGTACAGAACCTCAGTCACCGTCTTTACCAGCTTATCGGCCAGAGTGGCAGAGAAGACTCGTCGCCTATTAATCCCAGGAGCCCCCATAGTTATGGATGAGTGATCCGCCACCCCCCAAAAACATATATTTGGTATTTATCTGTTAATGTATTAATCTGGTATTACAGTACACATCACCTGGATCACTGCTGTGCCTCTTTACTTTTCAGGCTAATTGTTCAGTTTAGTACCACACAGCTTGAGTGACCCACCACCCTGACAATGTTTGCCTTTTTTCATCGACGGACAACCTAAGCAACCTCAGTCTTAATCCTGTTAATGTCAGGACAAAAAAAGCTTGTCTTCAGCTCTGGACTGTGCCTCGCTGATCAAACACCCCCGAATTCTTGATTCGGCCTTGACGTTGCATTCAATGCCAGAGTTCCGTCGGATCACATTTGGACACATTTTAAGATATAACAAAGAGCATTCGGTAGATCTCGGCCAAGGCTGGGTTGTGGCAGGTCAATCCAGGGAACACTTTTTTTTCCAAGAATGTGGACTTGTAATAAAATGAAAACTAAAACAAGGTGGGAAAAGCCGTTTGAACATTTATTAGATTTCCTCGATATCCAGCTTAGGATATGTCCTAATATGCCCTTTGAGTAAGTCAGTCCACACACGAGTAGAACAACCGTGTCTTTTGAGTAATATTTTATTTTTCCCACTGCTAGAGCCTCACTAATAGAATTAGTAATGTACTAGTGGGCATTTTGGTGCTGCTAGTAGGGTCCAGAGGTTTCTAGTTGGGCCCAGCAGTGTTACTAGTGCAGCACAGTAGCTTATTAGTCAGCTTTAATTGTTTGTAGGTCAAAAAGTGGCACGAATAGTGAAAAGAAACAGGATGCTGAAACGAATTTCGTTTACGTTATAAATTGAAGTGACAGTGGATGTTATGCCACTCCAGTGACCTAGAGGGCGGCAGTGAGCATTGGAAGACAGTGGACGACAACAGAAAGAGTGCGCAAACGGGGAAAAAATGAATCGGGAAATTCAATCAAAGACAACAAAAAAAGCAATAACTCGATTAGAATTGCCTGAATAATTCTGGTTCGAACTACGCCCTGGTTCGTCAAAACAAAGCGAGCTAAAAATGACTGCAAATGAATGTATGACACAAGTCCTAATATCGCCCGGTGTGCACCCTCGAGTCAATCAATTATTTGCATTCACAGTATAATGTTCCGTACGGAGCACAGCGCGCTAGTCTCCTGCATGTGATTCCTAAATTCTCTCCGCAAATGGAGATTTTTGTTATTGACGGCAGTTTATTAAGTCTGACCTAATCTTTGCAGTCACACGCGGCAACAGCAGGAAAGGATTTGTTTCCAAGGCCGACACTTGGAAAACACATAGCAGCAGAGCATGGGCCTGCCACGCACGTTCACGTGAGGTTCAAATTGAAATAATAATGTTTGACAAATTACCTGGCAATACTTGACAAAGGGAGGGATTTGTTGTACAGTATGTGGTTTTTCATATTCTTTATATCGCGTCTTTGAGTGGTAGGGGTCACGATGAGAAGGAAAATTGAGTTATATTATGAGTGAAAAGGAAAAAAAAAACTAGACTATTGAGAGATAAGCACTGAAGTTGCAATGAGAAGTTAATAGTATCAGAAAAAAAGCCAGAAAAGTTTTCAAAACTTTTTTTTTCTTATGTTAAACTTCTGCGTTCGTTGCTGTGGGGATTTCGACTCTCCGTTGACGTGTTAAAATGACAACTTTATTCCGGCGACATTATTTTCTTTTCATCACATCTCAGTTCGTCACCATTATGACTTTTTCACCCCAAAAATATGGCTATAATCTTAGAAAACAATAAAGTCTAAATATTACTGTAAAAAAAGTCACTTTTTTTTTAATCGCAAACGGTTGCGTTTTAAGTTATAGGAATTTCGATGCTCGATTTACAACCATACTATTCTCATAACATTATAGCTTATCATAAGTACTTTTTCCCCCCCCTGATAAGATTCCAACTTCTTTTGACATTGTATTTTTTCCCCGTTTCAGTATGGCCCCAATATCCCTTTGTGTTTTCCCAAACTGTTTAATCTGCATCTGTTTCCCAAGGTTGTCTTTGGCACCATTAGGACACAGGGTAATACTGACCGGTTCACAAGTTCTAAGTCTAATCTGTTCAAAGGCTTGCGAAAGTGAAACATGCCACGCTGTCTGGGGTAATTGCGCTAATCGATGTCTCATGATAGATTTGTCATTAAAATTGCTTTTGAAATTCCGACACTTTGGTGAATGTCTGGAAACTGTTGCGCACTGTGTGTACGTGTGTGTATGTGTGTGTGAGTTATCAATTATCGTATATTTGAAAAGCGTCACAGATCATTGTGAGAGGATTTATTCCTTTTTTTTTTTTTTGGTCACTTTTGTGACGTCGTCGACTGCGTCACGTCTGGCGTACGCCCGCCGGTAGCCCCCCGTCCACACTTTTCACAGGGCTCTCTTTTGCAAACACACAAAGAAAGCATCTGGGTCGTGAACGCTCTTATCGCAAATGTAGTTCCATTTTGTAAGTGTCACGTTTGAAAATTTTCAAACATGTCAGTGCACTCCCAGTGGCGTTGGGGTCAACTGTGAACGCTGTGTGTAAATAGACGCCTTCAGATGAGTTATTTAAATAAAAAACGGTTGTATTTAAGTTATATTTATGTGTTCATAAGTGTATGTCGCCAAAGACTTTTGTTTTTGTGTATTCTTGTTTCCTTCTTAAAAACCTGACACCATGGTAGAAATGTACAAATGTTCATGTTCTTCACTATGGTATGCAAAATAAAGAGCTATACTGTACTGCACATGAACCAATACTTTGTTGCTGTACTTTTGCAGATGTTTCAGGCACTTGGGGCGTAGTTACTCATTTAATTAAGGGCTGAGACAAAAACTCAAGCATACATCCCACATATGAGTCTTCCTAAAATTGTGAATATTCATGTTTAACATTTATCAGCAGGAATCTGAGTGTTGCTTTAATGCACATGCTAAATCAAAAGTTTGGAATAGTCCATTGCATGAGAAGGGGGCGGGGGGGCAATAACCTTGATGTGGGTGAATAAACAGGCAGCCAAGTGACATAAATGACTGATTTCTTAATGGGGTGAATGTCATTGAAACGTCAGATCAGAAGACGTCAGCTGACTGCAGCCACGTCTGGTAAAGGTTGTATGACTTGGAAGAGTTAATGAGTGACAGCGGTTTTTGTCAACAAAAGCACCAGTAAAAGGACAAGTCTCGACCGTGACATATTTTCAAAAGGAGGCTGAGATTTCTCTTCCACTCCATGCAGGTGATGACGTTCAGATGACAGGCATGTATCTTGATATCTGTTTGAACTGGTTGTCGAGTTAATTTGGCACATCAATAGTTTGTCAATATGTGCCATGTGATTGGCGGACAACCAGTCCAGGGTAAACCTTGCCTCTCACCCAAGATCAGCTGGGATGGCCTCTCGTTACCCGCGCCCTTAAAACGACAAACACTACAGAAAACAGTGAAAAATTATTTTTTTGTACACGGGAGTGGGACTACGTGGTGGTCAATGGTGGTGACCTTGTCATTCTCTGGTCAATCCGCTGGCCACCCTCACATCGAGGGAAACTTTACAACAAGCAGCAGTAAAGATAAGAAAACCTTTATTTGTCTAACAATGGAGAAATTCGCAATCAACAGTAGCAGCATTTGGAGGGAACAAAGTCGGAAAAAAATTGACACAATTTGACAAAATGATTAATTCTTCAAAATGGAGGTTAAAGCCATTGTCTCTTTGCTAGCTTAATGCTAGCACATAATGCAAAAAAAAAAACCCATAATTTTTTAAAATTATATTATACAGTATATTTTATATTTATATTTTGTCATAATTTGACTAAAAAGTAGTTCCCCTCCACGGCCAAAAAGTTACGAGAGACAAAATAATTATTTTTATCAGCAGGCTACTTAAAGGTCCACAAATTATGAATATGTGGCTACTGTGTATCGGTGTCACACAGTCAACAAAGCAACAAAAGAAATTGGGTTTTGTTTTTTTTTTTTTTTAACCGTACTGAAGCCTGTGTAAATATTTTGGATAAATATTGTTTTCCCCTAAAGAGAACAAAAACAATATATTTTCTCTAAGGTGACGTGCGCGTTCGTTCGAATCCTCAAAGATGTTCGTCATTCAACGATGAAAGAGAACTCCGTCTTGTTGCGTGACGACGTCGGGGCGTTTTTATAGGAAACGTACAAAAAAAAAAAAGTGGCAAGTTATTTTATTTCGACACGTGTGAAGCATTTTCGAAGCGACCTGAATTGTTGATAGTGTGTTGCATTTAGTCTCCCACGTTGAGTGAAGATTTTTAAACTTCGTTTTCCATCCCGAGAAGAAAGGGAAAGCAGAGCACCTGCTCTTCAACACACTGCAAAGCGAGTACGTATAACTTTTTCTTTTGTGCAAAATGTGTAGAGTTGTATATACATTTACATCAAAAAGCTTATGTACATAAATTGAAGGTCGTAATTATTCATGATGTTAAACCACACTCAAGGTGACTAACCGTGACTAATCCTGTATTTTCAGTTTTGTTTTCATTGAATATTTAAACAGTTAAGTAATCTTTTTGTAAGCCTTTCGCAAGAGCAGACTGCTGATGATTGAGGTTAGGATGGTGAGACAAGACAAAACAAGAAAATCTTCATCAAGGAATGTTTGGGGATTTGGGTGTAGCATGGATGTTTAGCAGTCAAGAGATCCTGGATTCAATTCTCAAAGACTGCCAACCAGTCCAGGGAGTTTATCCTTAATCTCTCATCCCCAAATCAGTTGGGATAGACCCCACTGAGAACAAACGATAAGGAGGATGGATGGAATAAAGTTAATGCAATATATGAGACCAGTGGCAAGAGAATAAAACATCAGAGTCATCCGAGATGCTTTTAAAGTGCTATGATCTTTTGCTGAAGCTTTAATGAATCATAATGGTTTCATCCCAGTTGATGGAAGAACACAACCATATTAGACCTCAAAACTTTAGAGCTATCAAACGATGACGAACAGGATAAGAGCCATAGAAAGTGAACGGTGGGCCCATAAATCGTTTTCTGTTGTTGACTTTAAAGCTATCAAACGATGATGAACAGGATAAGAGCCATAGAAAGTGAACGGTGGGCCCATAAATCGTTATCTCTTGTTGAGGGTTTGCACTGTAAATTGTGTGGTGGTGGCCATAAAACAATTACTGATAGTATCACATTTGTAAGGCAAGGCACTTTTATAGCGCACATTTCATACACGAGGAAAGTCGATGGGCGTATTACAGCATCATTAAAAGTTATCATTTAAACCATTGAAAACACACTACAGAAATTGTTTACGGTGCACGTAAAAGATTTTAAAAGTTTTGTGGTTTAAAAGGAGCTTAAATGTAACCATGACTTTTTAAAAAAAAAATGTAACCTGGATTTACAACATTCAAACTTGCGGCGAAATTCACTTTTGAAATGTATGATGGGATTTGTCTTATCATTTCGATACTGTGACTTTAAAATGCACGTTGGCCATAAGCAATTGTGATAATTGGGACATTTGTCATGTAAAATGTATGGTGGTGTTATAAAACATTCAGAGAAAATAAAGGATTGATTTGGTCAATGGGGTCATAAACTGACATTGTATCAGAGCTCATAAACTATCCGGACATTGTGTCATTCATATCGTAAACTGAATTGCCCATGTTTGAAGTTAGAAGCAGTCTGTTCTCTTTACTCTAGCATGTTCCAGAAGGTACAGAATCAGGGTGCCTGCAGCATCCAAATGGAGGAAACCAAAGCGGGAGCCCAGGCGCGGCCCAAAATCAACCTCTTCTCATTGTCCAACCTGAAGAAAGTGGACAACACCGACACCCAGCGTCTCACCCAACTCCCGCGCCAAGCTGCTGTCAACTTGGAGTTCAGCGACCTGTCGTATGACATCCAGGAGGGGCACTGTTGTCAGAAGGCAGGTACTGTAGGCTCTGTTCATCATATAAGAATTCAGATCAGTTGAGTAGATGTATCCCCAAAACGGTCCCGTAATAACCAGACGATCTTCATCCAAATAAGCAGCGATTGTCTTGACAATCGCCAGAATATTTTCAAAGAATTACCCCCTGCCCCAAACTGTGAATTTTAAGAACCAAAGAATATCCACCGGGGAATTCAGAGCAATTTTAGAATTCTTAAAAATTGTCCCATCATAAGCACCAGTAGATGATCAATATATTAACCGTTTGAGGTTACTACAGTGGACAGTTTTATCAGGTTATCATTATTGGTGCATGAAAGGGTTAACCAGATCTTCATTGTATCATGTGCAGGAATTAAAGAATGGAAAAAGTCAATATGTCAACATGTTCATCATATAACAACCCGAAAACCAACCATGAAATGTTTTATTATTCCTCTCCAACAGGTTTCAAAACACTGTTGAATTGTCTCAACGGACAATTTAACAGCAAAGAGCTTACCGGGATCATGGGACCCTCTGGAGCTGGGAAGTCCACCATGATGAACGTCCTGGCAGGATACAGGTAAAATACCACAAGAGGACACAAATTGTTTTGTTTTTTGTTTTTTCGCCATGCATATTAATCTGGATTACAGGGAGACAGGCATGAAGGGTAAAATCCTGGTGAACGGTCGCCCGAGGGACTTGGAAACATTTCAGAAGATGTCATGCTACATCATGCAAAGTGACGTACTGATGCCTCACCTCTCGACAAAGGAGGCCATGATGGTAAACTCATTTAATTTGGAAAAAAAAAAAAAACATTTTCCTTGAATGTGTCATACGCTTGCAATTTTAGGTGGCTGCCAATCTGAAACTCAATGAAAGCATGCAGGTCAAAAAGAGGATTGTAAGCCCCTCCCCTGGAGTTCATAACGTATTTTTTAGATTTACCACTTAGGTCGAGGGTAACGATGTCATGACTGTGTCACAGGTGACCGAGGTACTGACGGCTTTAGGGCTGATGGCGTGTGCGAAAACGCGTACAAACAATCTCTCAGGCGGCCAGTCGAAAAGACTTGCCATTGCGCTCGAGTTGGTCAACAATCCTCCCGTCATGTTCTTCGATGAGCCCATCAGGTATGATGACATCACACGTGACCTAATCCGTGATCTTGACATCACTTTACGCGCTTCCTAAAATGACCCCATAATACCGGTACACAAAAAATTGACCGACGGCTACGAGCTCAAGGAAAATTGTTTGAATCTTGAAAGCTCTCCACTGTAGGTAACCACTGTCCCTCAAACGGTTAACTGTATTCACAGTCATATTTTTCATCATAGTTTTTATTTTGGTTTGACTTGTTTTTAAATTTTTCCTCCCGTCATGTTCTTCGATGAGCCCATCAGGTAAGATGACATCACACGTGACCTAATCGCGATCTTGAAATCACCTTACGCTCTTCCTAAAATGACCCCAAAATGCCGGTACACAAAAAATTGACCGACGGGTACGAGCTCAAGGAAAATTGTTTGAATCTTGAAAGCTGTCCACTGTAGTAACCACTGTCCCTCATGGTGTCACGACCCCGAACACTTGTTAATGCACTTGACTGATGATCATGTCGTTATTATTATTATTATTATTATTATTTTATTTTTATTAGAATTTGCTACAGTCCCAAAAATGTCTCTGACCCGCAGCGGCAGATTTAAAAGGGTCATACGGACTACCAACAGTTCCACACTGCAGAACATAAATCAAGCAACTTCAGTTCGGCACATTTCTTTCCGAATTTGATCAACCTCATAAAGCCCCGAAAATCGGAACATCTAACAAAGAGAAGTGGTTGCCTCCCAAAGAATTCAACATCGTCTTAAAAGTCCCGAACAAGTCCAACTCACGAAGTCTTAAACCTTTTTTGTAAAATGTTCCAGGAAAAGGGAGCAGCAAACCCAGTTTAGTTGCGACCCTCGGGGATAGGCAGTAAAAGAATATCATGAGAACAAAGATGATGGATTCCAGAGTTCCTCTGACTAATCAACGTCAGAAGGTAGGAAGGCAGAAGACCAAGACGTGCCTCATAAACCAAATCAATTTTTGTTTTAGTCTGTGGAGGCAAAGTGGACCATCCAAAACATTCAAAGCCCAGTGATAAATCGTATCAATCTAAATTTATTGTCGGATTAAATCCCTGCGTTTCGTTTTGTGATGTTTTATACATGCTGTGGCTCAATGGTTCATGTCGTTGTTTTTTTCCACATCTTAGTGGTTTGGATAGTGCAACATCCATCCAGGTTATCTCCCTCCTGAAGTGTCTGGCGAAAGGAGGCCGGACAATCATCTGCACCATTCATCAGCCCAGTGGGAACCTCTTTCAGATGTTTGACAAGGTAAATTCCAGCACCTGTGATAGCAAATTGGACTTGGAATCAATTGCACTTGTCATACTTGAGATACAAAGTTAAACAAGAGACCTTTGCAGTTGGCGGAAGCACGATTTCCCAGAGCGAACGACGGCATTTGCTCCGCAAATCACACTCAAAGTCCCTCGTGCTCCTCATCGAACTTTTAATTGTTTACATATGCAAAATATAAGAAGAACACCGCCCCCGATATTTGCATACCACGCCCCCCAGTCCGACCCTTCGGTCGGATATTTGATTAACTCATTCACTCCCAAAGACGTTTTTTAAACGTCTTTTCAGACTAAGTCCAGAAATTGTCAAGCTTTGAACCACAGATACACTTAACACCTTCATGTCTGGTCCTCCATGAACAACGAAATTGCAGATGACAAATGTTCTCTTGCGCCGCGACCAGTTTCCAAACCGTCTTTTGACATTCTAAAACACTGGTTTACCCCTCTGCTTTTCAACTAGCTGTACATCCTCAGTCAAGGCCAGTGCATCTACAGGGGCTCAGTCACCCACCTCATCCCTCACCTGACCAACCTCAACCTTCATTGCCCAAAGTATCACAATCCGGCAGATTTCAGTGAGTCCTAACCGTCTCCTTCCATGACGCGTCTGGATTTATCGGATGTTCTTGACTCTTCGTCACCCGTTTTTTTTCCCGCCAGTCATCGAAGTGGCGACGGGAGCGCATGGCGACATGCAGGCGGTGTTGTTTGAGGCCACCCAAGGCAGCCAGTGCTGCGAGGAGAGCAAGAAGAACACGGCGAATGACGAGAGTTCGTCCGCCGGCGATAACCAACCCGTAAGTAATCCGCTTTGATGAATTGACTTTTGAATAAAAGTGCATTATTCATGGTTCGGGGCATTTTCATCTGGAACGTATCTCCCTCAACTATTATCCTAAATTTGTATTGTTGTCTTTTCTACAGGATATGCCACCTCTCGAGATACAATACTTTGCCACCAGTACTTTGAAACAGTTCTTCATCCTCTTTCAAAGAAACCTCACGGCCATATGCAGGGATGCGGTAAATCTCGGAAGAAAACAAAACATTTTGACATGATTTTTCGGAATGAACATTTTTTTTTTTTTTTTTTTGGTGTTGTCCAGATACTGACCCACCTGCGCGTGATCTCCCACATCATCATCGGACTCCTAATTGGCTTGCTTTACCTCAACATCGGAAACGACGGGGTGAGCGCGTTCAACAACGCCGGGTTCCTCTTCTTCTCCATGCTGTTCATCATGTTCGCCGCCCTGATGCCCACCGTTCTTACCTGTGAGAAATCGACGGACCGTCCTGCTAAACCCTTTCATTGCACCCTGTAACCTGATAACATGATAAACTGTCCGCTGTAGTAACCGCTGTCCCTGAAAGGGTTAAAGTGCAACCGACCAGGCACGATAATTCGCCTCTTTTCCCACAGTTCCTCTGGAAATGGCTGTGTTTGTAAGGGAGTACTTAAACTCGTGGTACAGTCTACATGCCTACTACATGGCAAAAACGTGTGCAGACATCCCGTTCCAGGTAAACTGACATGATTGGCTTTTTATATTTCACCATGTGGAGATTTATCTCGATTATCTTCCAGGACAGTAAATCCCAAAAGTGTGCTACGAGTACCGCTAGTTAACATGCTGATGCTCTCAATGGCTTAATCCTTCGTGAAAACCTGTGACAGACGATTTTGACAGTCAAAACATGTCAGCGGTGATCCTGATCATTTCATGCTTGGAATAATTAGTATAGAACTGCTCCAGATGATGTACCGTATTTTCCGCATTATAAGGCGCTTCGGAGTATAAGGCACACCTTCAATGTATGGCCGATTTTAAAACTTATTTTCATATATAGGGCGCGCCATATTGAATAGAAGCTACAATAGTGGCTGCGGTTGCGTTATGCAACCACTAGATGGAGCTACGCTAAAGGGAATACAATAAAATACGGCTTTATAGAGAGCTTTCACAACCGCCGCAGCTGTAACAAAGCGCTTTAAAATAAATTTACAATATTACGTCCAGTAAATCAGAATATTGATCCTTATACAAACTGTCGGCTTTTGAGAAAATTGAATGCTTTTAGGTGCACCTTATAGTGCAGAAAATACGGTAAATGACATTTTTTTGGTGCCGCGTGGATGCTTTCTATCCTTTTGATGCGGTAGTGGCGGTATGGGGGCAAGAAAACACACTCAAATCGTAACACTGGGGTTTGCGCAATTCTTTTCCAGATGATCTGTCCAATCCTGTACTGCAGTATCGCATACTGGATGACTGGTCAGCCTGCAGAAGCTACTCGCTTCGTGCTCTTCCTCTCCCTGTGCACGTCCGTTGCCCTGGTTGCACAGTCACTTGGGCTGCTCATTGGGGCGGCGTCGCCATCACCACAGGTAGGTTTTTATCTTTCATCTCAAAGTAGGTTTCCCCCGCACCACCCCGACCCCTTCACAAATGTATCGGAATAATAACCCGCAGGTTGCCACTTTCGTCGGACCGATCACAGCCATACCGATCATCCTCTTCTCGGGCTTCTTTGTGAGTTTCCGCAACATTCCTTATTACCTGCAGTGGACCTCCTACGTCTCCTATGTCAGGTACCTTGATCTTGATTTTGTTGGATGTTAATGAACTCAAAAAATTACCTTATCAACATTTAACGAGATGTCCGATCAAGCTTGGCAGTATGTGTATAGCCCACAATCCACAGACGGTAGAAAATAATGTCAATCGTCGCTTTCAGGTACGGTTTCGAGGGAGTGATGCTCTCGATCTACGGGATGAACCGCACGGAGCTGGAATGTGACCCGACGGTGCCGCTGTGTACCTTTCAGGATCCAATGCAAGTCCTGAAAATGCTGGATGTGGAGGATGCAAAGCTCTACGTGGATTTTCTTGTCCTGGGAATTTTTTTCACGGTCATCAGGGTGGCCACATTTCTAGTCCTGCACTGGAAAGTGAGGGCTGAACGTTGAGTTCAAGTAAATGTTATCTATTTAGTGGGATGTTAAAAGACAGTTTGCTGGTTGAACTTGTCGCTGGTTGAACTTGTAATTCGGTTTGAATTTCCCATTGAGATCATAATACATTGGGAATATTTAACTGATGCCGTCATCAAACTTTCATTGGCTGGACATTTTGTTAAATATATTTTTGGGTTGTCAGACAAGAATTCCATTTTAAAATGAAACACGCTTAGCCCATTCATTCAAGTTAGCATTAGCGTGGTAAACTAATTGCCAAGCTAATTGCTGGACTAATATGCAACTAACAATTTGGTAATTAAAATGGCACAACTTGATAATTAAAATGGCCTCAGCACATGTTAATATAAACATAGCTAAGGTTGCTAATTTGGATTCTTAAAAGTATTTATAGGCCACATGGTAATTAGTATGTTAGCATGAGCGTGTTAGCAATAGCATGTTACATAATTTATCAAACTAAAATGCAACTAAAAATAAATTAAAATGGCCGCACCACATGTCAATATAAACTTAGCTATGGTTTTCATTCCTTGCAGGCCACAATGGTAATTAGTATGTTAGCATGAGTGTGTTAGCGCTGGCGTGTTACATCAATTGCAAAGCTCGAGACGAAAATGCACCTAACAATATTTGCATGAGTTGAATTTACTCGAGTCTGATATCCATCCCAATTTGTACACTAGTGACCTTTTTATCACCCATTATGGTGACAAAACAAACAACACTTGCAAGGAAAAGCAAAACGTGCAGTGCTTCAATATAATGTTTCTTGATCTTATCCCTCGGCCCTTTCATCTAAAGGTTGAAATAAAAAATTGGTTCCCAGGGTGACGTGTGGTGTAAACGTCAAAACATTCTTGAATAGGAGTTGAGTGCCAAAGAGTTGGGTCGGGTCATTCAGTCTATTACACAACAGATGTTTTGAAAAATCCCGATGAGAATGTGCATGTACTGTACTTGGCGGAAAGATTAATGCAAATACTTGGAATTGTATCCGGCTGTATATATAATAGGTTGTGATTTACAATGAAATATGAGGGGAAGATATGGAGGACTGAGTAGTTTTCCAAAGGAGGTCAGATAAATAAAAAAACTTGATTAAAATAGCTAGGAGAAGATTGCCAATTTGGCTTTTGGTCCGCAAATTTAAGAGCAAGCTAAGTCACATTAGTATGTTACCATCAGCGTATTAGCATTAGCATGCTAAGCTATTTGCTAAGGTAAAAAACTAATACAGAAGTTAATTTAAGAAGAATTTTCCAGTAAAAAACTAATACAGAAGTTAATTTAAGAAGAATTTTCCAAACGGGTTAATATGACGCAAATAAAATGAAAGTTCACATTACAGTGAGTTAAAGCCTATTCAATTTAATAATCGAAAATATTTGTTTTGGCCACAGACACGAACTTCCCAACACTATGGAATATAAAATGAACTTGTATAAAAATCATACTTGTCCAGGTAATTTTACAGATTAAAGCGAAACAAAAGGTGCATTAAATAAAACAGTATTTTCAAAAATTAAACTGTAATAGTCACAGGATAATTCATTCCTGTGATTGGCTTGTGACCAGTCCAGGGTGTACCCGGACTTTAAACACAAAATGGCCTCGTAGTTGACTTCTGTGTTCAAGATGACATCATGAAAAATAATGACTTCACCCTGCTACAGTAGCTCCTTTGTGATTTGAACACAAGTCGATTTGGAAATACTCAATGCCTGAGGGTTAACTGAGTGCACGAGTCGAAATCTGCTCGGCGCACACTTTGGGAACACAAAAGATAAATGTGACCACTGCACACCCACGCACACATTTAGCAGGGCTGCGTACGTGCAGATTCAAACGACATAAAGCCACAACCCATTTCTCACACTGGATTGGAAAATTGGCATCCACTGTATGATGGCACTCATCTCCCTCCCCCACCCGCCTTCAGCCCAGTGAAATCAAATTCAAAATACCACCCAAATGTTTTTGGATAGCAAATTTGCTTTTCAAGTCACAACATTCCCGAAAGTTGACATGTAGCCGTGGATGCCAAAATGGCAAATGTATAATAAGCATTCCCACATAAAATGATAAACTGGAGAGCACAAATTAGCCATTGAGAACTAAAGTGGGCTAACTACATTTTGGTCATTTGAAAGTAGACCGGAATGAACGCTGGTCGAAATCAGGAATTAAGAAGCAATACTCAATGCCATATAAATCAAGAAATAAATCCCCCAGATTTTATTGCATCCATAAAACTGACTCACCCTCCTGCAAAATGACAAAAATGGAGCTTGCGCACACTAGTTCTGTTTCTCAAGTAACCGGGTCATGGACAGCAACAGTAAAGCTGTCTGAAGTACTGACCTATCTTTAAAACCTAAATTCTAAATTTGTTCCATGTAATTGTACTGATGTCGTCCCAACGGTGTATTTTTTTTCTCATTTCATAACATTTCTATTTGCTCCACTGCTGCCATGAGTACATGCAAGTGTTTTTGTTTTTGTCCAATCAGATTTCAGCTTTTGTGTTGCCATATCAACACAATCTTCCCAGAACCTTCAGAATTAGCAGTGCCTGCCCATATAACTAAAACAATTAGCAATGGGGTTGTTTCTTTAAATTTTTCCATCCGCTGATATTTAGTCAGAGCAAAACCAATTTTCTAAACCTGTATTCTGGTGAGTGTTTTTTATTTTTCATGAAAGCCATGATAGTACCGACTGAGTTTTGTCAACTTGTACTGTATACCAGTTCTGCGTGTGCATCAGTCACATTCAAAACAACCTGAAGTTGACATGTCACATGATTGGTTCTTTTGAAGTGCACACCAGAGTTGTGCATCTGTCCGCCTCATAACAACCTGAATATGGCATCACGATGACGTCGGACATTCAAAACAACCTGAAGTTGACATGTCACATGATTGGTTCTTTTCAAGTGTATACCAGAGTTGTGCATCCGTCCGCTTCATAACAACCTGACTATGACATCACGATGACGTTGGTCCAGCAGTCCAAAGATGTGTTCAAAGTCAGCATGGAAATTTGAATAAACAAACATCAGATTCCAAGAAGGGTGGAGTTTGAGACTACACATAAACACAAAACACGGAATGAAATAATCGGGGAGGCCTTAACCGTTGGGTCTTGGTGTATTTGTCACCTATTAGTGGAAGACCGTTTATTTTCTTTTTTCTTACAACACGCGACAACGAACTTCACTTCGTCGCTTCCTTCTGACGTCACCACAAACGAGGCATGACGGAGACCCGAGTGAGCCTACACTAGGCTAAAGCATGTTACTAGGGTCAGAAAGTGGTAACAGGTAATTCCATAGTCAATGCAAAAATAATGTTGCTCTTGGAAGTGTCTAGTAGAAACATGGATTAAGTGGAGTTAGCTGACAGGTGGGTCGTTTTTTTTCCCGAAAGTGCAGGAGTGTTCCAACTGGCAGATTGAGAATGGACTAAAGCTGTTTTTTTTACAGCAAAGGTGACCAACTGTGTACCATGTTCGGGCCAACCCTCAACGCTGCCTTGACCAAGTATTGATAACCAAGCTCATCCGGGTAAAATACATCAAAATTTAAAATTATGAGTGGATTTGGAGTGAACGCTGCTTTACCCCAACTCTATTATGGAGTACAATCGCCCCCTCTGGTGGTTAGATAATGTCAATTCCTGGTCTGTGTTCATCAATTCAGATTTTTGATGGGAGGCTTTTCTCCAGATGGTCCTCTGTTTCATAAAAAAAATAGCTTGTTAGCTTCATTGATCACTCTAAATTGTCCATAGATGTAAATGTGGTTGTAAACATAAAAAGTCACACCATATGTAAATGTGGGTGTAAACATAAAAAGTCACACCAGCAGTGTGTGGTTTGACTAATGTCTCTGTTCTAAGGGCCAGTAAATGTACACCATATATCAGACATAATTTATCAAAAATTTGCGCTATACTGCTATTGATAATGTTTTTTTCATCCAATTTTGCACCCCCCCCCAAAAAAAAGAAATACAGGTTTCATTTGTTATTGACTCGTGTGTTCTTAAGATGACCTCATGAAAACGATGATCTCATCCATCGACAGTAAGTCCTTTGACATTTGAATACAGGTGGACGTGTCGTCCCTTGGGGCTATGTGGGTGCTGTTGAAATCTGTCAAACGCGGGGTTAGTCAGCACGATGGGCACTTTCAAAATCCTAAATCATTCGAAATAAAAAAGTGTCAGCGTGATGTGTGAATCAGCGCTCATGTCCCATAGGTTCAAACAAACAAACAAAAAAAAAACCAGGAAGAACTTACTGTCCTTTTTTTTGTGTGCATGTATGTGAAAAACACACAAGTCAACAACAAACAAAGCTTTACATGCTTTTTGGGCACCACTATGATCATACTAATACATGATATGGACCTGGGAAGCATACATAGTGTATATATGAGATAAAAATACAAGATAAGATCCTTTAATGATTCCCAGAGGGGAAATTCAGGTGTTACAGCAGTAGAACTAAAACTGAATAAAATTAAAAAAAAATCCTATTGAATAACCACATTCGACTCAAAAGTAGTATTGTATATATTATCTATATAAATAGTACAATAATATAGGGCTCAGTTCCTGCATGCAAATAAATAGAGCATTAGCCCCTCCCTCTGTTACCCATATATGGTATGTTCCACATTAATTATCGCTCTCCGGCCTCATCAAGGAGAACCTCCCAGACGGATCTGGGATGAACCATTTCTCCCAGCGTTCCGTGTGAACAGCTGGGTACCCCCACGGTTTGAATGGGCCGTTCCAGTGCAGTAGCTGCGCCTTCCGCAGGAAGCTCTCGGGATAGCCAGAATCTGGACTCCAACCTAAACACACACACAAAATTATTTTTTTTCCCCGTGTCCCTTATTAATCGCCGACTCATCTGGTTGATCTTACCAAGATGTCTGACATGCCAGATTGGGTCCAGCACTGTGTATTTGCCATGAAAAACAATGAGCATAGGTGGTGTGACCACACCGCCTGCCATCGCACTGCTGTAGATGTTTAGTCTGGTTTAAAAAAAAAAAAAGTTCAAATCATGATCATAAAGTGGAAACGTTCTACCGAAAGCCTAATTTTTTTTTGAGCTTCAATTTTGACCGGTTCTTTTTCTTATCTTCCTAAAATGACAAAAGACAGCATGTAATCATACTTGAGATTGTCCTCCATGCACTTCTGGAGCTGTTTGGTGATCTTTTGCTTTTTCCATTCGCGCATATCCGCCACAAACACACCGGGGTTGAAGGAGCAATCATTGGGATTGATGCCGAGGTCTTTCACTTCTTGTTTTCTGTAATCCAGGAAGCCCATGTAGGTTGTCTACGGAAGGGATACCCTTACTGTGCTTCATTTGCAGAAACGAACGCTCATTGAGCAACGCCTGGACGAAGCCCACCTGCATGCCAACGCTGCGCACCATCTCGTGAGTGGAGGGCAGGTCACAGTCGGTGGCGAAGGCAGCTGCGTGTTGCGGCTTTAGTTTGATTTCGAACAGATCCTGAATATCACCTGAGCAGGGAAGAAAAAAAATTGTAAAGAAAAAAAAAAATGATCGTGTCAAATGGACTGAGCCCCTCTTGTATATCTACCCTGTACAATGACATCATCGTCTAAGTATATGACCCTCTCGTGGTTCACCTCAAGCATCGGTAGGTAAAAGCGCACAAAGTTGAGCTGCAAAACAAAAAAGTCAACACATTTTATTTTCACCTTTAGTGTCACTTCACTTTTTTTTTTTTTTTTTTTTTAAACCAAACTTAACTGGATGTAGTAGATCCGGTCTGGCGGAGTCCGGCTTCACTTTCCCCTTCAGAACCATCGGATTAAACTCCAAGATCTTATATTTGATGCCTTTTAATTGGGTTTCCTCGATGTAACGTCTGCAAAGAGAGCGTAAACAATTTTTACAGTTGTTGAGGATGTGAGAAATAATCATAACGAGGTTGTACCTGGTCAGTGTAACAGCATCCCGTAGCGTAACAATATAGAAGAGCACGTTCGCATTTGTGTTGCTGTGGATGCTGTTGATGGTTGCCATGGTTGCGCCCATCCGCTCCTCCGACGCGCAGATGACGACGGGGATGACACGATCAATTTCTTTCATCGGGCTATCACCTAGTTTCTTCCATTGACCTTGGGAGAAAGCGCAATTATTTGTCGGGGGGGGGGGGGGGAACGCAAAAATTTGCATTTACCTGAAATTTGGTGCCGACTGGAGGCTCTGAGTAGCGAGCTGTGCAGGAGCAAGTACAGCATCAGCACCAGCAGCATCACCAGGATCTGATTGACTGGCGCAGGGATGCCAAGTGTTTGCAAACACATTTTGGAACTTAAATATGCATTGTTTCATACAAATGTCTCTTTTGTGTCCGTTTGACTGCAAACTTGTGACTGACAAAAGACAGCTTGAAGCAAGCCAAGTGTTGTTATTTTCACAAAAAAATATTGCAACACATTTATTCTCACTTTTTCTCAGAAGAGCCATGGTTCATGGTTGCGTTCTAGGTCATGTGCAAAAGTCTGTAAAAAAGAATAAACAAAGTGATGCTTCCATCTATTCATTTATCTAACTAGCTATTTATCTAGCTGGCCTGCTTGCGCGTTATCTATCTATCTATCTATCTATCTATCTATCTATCTATCTATCTATCTATCTATCTATCTATCTATCTATCTATCGAACAAAGATGTGTGGTGCGTATTAGTGGGTTTATAGGGGGAAAGTGTTGACATTTAGGAGTGTCAGGGGAGGGGTCAGCTGGTTGGTCGAGAAAACCAAAACCAGATGTTTTTTTTTCCTTTCCTAGAGCCCTCTCCCACTTCCTTGCAACAGGAAACAAATAAAACACATAAACTCTTATCATGCGACCTTATCACGTCAGATTCAATTGATGACCACGTTTCATCTCTTTTTTTTTTCCTCAAAGGCTTGTTATCAGAATTTCGCTGAGTCAAATGAAACTCAAATACAGTACTCAGCAGGACACACTTTCTTGCTTCATGGTATCTGGTTTGTTTGTCATTGTTTAAAGCTGCAAAAAAAAAAAAAAAAAAAACATCTGGAACTGGTTAAGTTCTGTAACACCCCCCTTTGGAAAGCTTCCAGAACCAGCCAGCAATGGAACAACTACTATTGGACACAAGTAGATCACTAAACCCACACATAATAATCTCCATTATCCAAATCATACTAAACATTTAAACATCAAATATAAACCAGTCTGTGTTCTTTTTACCCTTTCCAGAAAGGAAAACTACACAACACATTTTAAACTACAGCTTACCTGACCAAACAGTTTTCTTTACACACACACACAATTGTGATTTTATTTTCACTGCATTGTGTATCAATTACTGCATAAAAAAGAAACATTGATATGGAGACATGCCAAAAATACACAATTCAATATTTTGCATCAAAACATACATAATACATCACAAATAGTATACACTGTATGCGCACAAAAAGTATTGTTGTGTGTTAAACTCGAGACTCAATCTTAATATCTGTAGTCTTTTTCTTTCATTTAACTGAATCAGCACATTTTGTTCCCAAACTGACACTGAAATAAAATAATAACATAATACAACATAAACTAGGGTTTTCATTATATGAAGTATGTCTAAGGGTACTTGCCAGAAGGAAAGGGTTCCAGCATGCTGCTCAAGGTCCATGTCGAGGAATGAAACTGCCCAGTGGTACAAAACCATCCCACTTTATTTACCATTATTCCTCCCTCTTTCTCCCCCTTGGTCTCATTCGCCAAGATTCTCATTCTTCGCTCCCATTTTTGCCATGAGCAGGATTAGCTGTCCCTGTTTAATTATAAATCATTTTTGTTTTCTTCAAGGATCGATGCGTTTTTGTGTGTTTTAAAACCTTGAAATACAGCCACAGTTTCAGGAAAAGAAATGTCTTTTATGGATTTTACAAGTGTTCGTTTTGTAAAATCATATTAATCAGTAAGCACACAGCCTAGTTCCTGATTTAACTTTTTTTTTAATTCGGTGAGGTACTTTTTTTTTCTTTTAGAGTCCACTTTTAAATATGGCTGAGTTAAATATACCTTTTTATTTCAAATTTTCTTCCTGTAATATTTAAGAACTGTTTGGTTTAAAACATTCAAGACCATTTTGTGTAACGTTACTTGCCATGCATTTGAATTGAATTATCATTTAAGTTTAGTTTCCCCCCCCCCCCCAATATTTAAGCGTAGTGTCTATGTGTAATTGTGCTTAATGTCACAATGGTTTCCAATAATAAACACTTGATGAACGATTAAAGGCCGACTACGTTGCTTTTAATTTGTTGGTAATTTTAGGAGGTACCTGGAGAGCAAAGTATTTCTTTTAGATTGTACTTGGTGTAAAAAGTTCGAAAAACACTGCATTTAGTGACTAAAAATGCACATGAATGAAATGGGTGCAACGATGCGAATCAGTCCGAACTACATTACCCACAACCCATCGCTTTTTAATGCTGCTGTTCCTGCTTGAATGGCCGCTTCAGGCTTATCTGTAAAACGCTTGAACCTCCTAAATGTTTAACTATATTTACTAGTAACTTAATATTATTAATTCTTAGTGTATTTTCATGTAATGCAGATGCTAGAAATTACCCTATCCCAATCACCTGAATCGATTTTCTAACAGTTTGTTCGGTCATAGTTGGCCAACATTTTACTCGCCCCGATGTCAAGACTGCTGTCGTGAAGCATAATAAAATGTCTTCATATTCTTAAAAATAGACTTGTTTTACTCTAATAGATCATTTTGAGAGTTTGTTGACCTTTCTACAATCATCATGGACGAAGACGGTCTGAAAGTGTTGGTGAAATTAACCCAGGACGGACAGTTTAGTTCTCTCAAGAAACACATGAAGACATGCGGACTTATGGAGGTTGCCCGAAACAAACATTTCGGCCGATCCGGAGATACTCTTGTGCACTATGCCGCCCGACACGGACACTTGGACATTTTAGACTTTCTCGTCAAAGAAATCGGCACCGATGTTGAAGTTTATAACAACGACTACAAGCGGCCGTTGCACGAAGCTGCTTCCATGGGCCACCTAGCATGTGTCAGCTATTTGCTGCAGGAGGGAGCAAAAGTGGACAGTTTAAAGAAGGCGGATTGGTGAGACTAAAATAATTGTACACGACTTCAAAACTGTAATTGGACTTGTATTGGCATACATGTTACTCATGAAAACCTTAACGAATGACTGGAACGTCAGCTCCCTTCGATAGCTCAGTTGGTAGAGCGGAGGACTGTAGTGGCGTACGCTGAAATCCTTAGGTCGCTGGTTCGAATCCGGCTCGAAGGAGCAGCTTTTTTTTTTCTTTTTGTATTTTAAAAACATCATTTACATAAACTGGTACGAAAAATCACATTTGATTAAGATTAAGACTGAGATAGTAAAAAACTTGTTATCCTGTAAAATACCAGAAAGAGGTGAAGTACATCGAGGTCGCATCTTGAGGTGGAAAAAGTCATCCCTGTGCTTTTCGGTGACATCTTGTAAACAATTCTCCCTCCCAGGACCCCTTTGATGATGGCCTGCACTCGTAGGAACCTGGATGTGATCCGAGAGCTGATAGAGCACTCCGCGGACCCATTCCTGAGAAATAAAGATGGCTGGAACGCCTTCCACATCGCGTGCAGGGAAGGCGATCCCCTCGTGATCCGCTACCTCCTTGACGTCGCTCCGGATGTGTGGAGAAGTGAAAGTAAGACGCGAAGAACACCTCTGCACACGGCAGGTGAGCTGTTCTCCTCTCCCTAATCGAGACGCCTGCCGTATGTAGTTCATGATTTGATTTATTTGCTTGTCATCCAGCCATGCACGGCTGTGAGAAGGTTGTTGACATCTTGCTTGAGAGGTAAGACGACCAGAATCCAAGATCCTTATACTGTCACATCAAATTTTGCCTTTTTCCTGGCAACATTCACCGGCTTGAAATGCAACCGCCGCAACGCTGTCATAGTGTCATTTCAAGGTTCATGTGTTGTCCAGATGTGACTACACCCCAGACAACAAAGACAGTTGCGGGGCTACGCCTTTCATGGATGCGGTGAGGAACGGACACATCTCAGTGGCCAGGCTCCTTTTAGCGAAACATCAGGTAGAATCATTTGCTAGATTTGACACATACTGTTAAGCATATATCAGATATTTATGTTTGAGGAAATGTGTGTGTATATCCTGTACTGTAGGCTTCTCCAACTGCAGTTGATACACTTGGGGTTCAACCAGTGCACCAGGTGGCTGTCACTGGCCAGGACGAGGCGCTGCGGTTCCTCGTAAGGGAACTCCATGTGGATGTCAACCAGAGGGCCACTGGCTTGCAGCTCACCTCCTTGCATTACGCCGCCAAGGTAGGCTTATAGTTGTGTTTATACTGTATGTAATTAATGAAATGATTGCTCTCATCCATGTGACTCTATCACGATTATACCAGGAGTGACAGCCCTGTTTAATGAAAATATGATAAGACAGTCTCGCACTGTGGGTGTGTATTTGTGTGTTTTTAGGAAGGCCACGTTTCCACGATAAAGACGCTGCTCGATATGGGAGCAGATCTGCACGCTCAGGACAAAAAGGGCAGAACAGGTAAACGTCAATCTCCATCCCCGCATCCACCCAACTGCACTTATTCTTATAATTTTTTTTGTGTCCCCCACAAGCTCTTCACATGGCTTCCATCGGACAGCACGCGGAGGTTGCCAGGACGTTGCTGCAGCTCGGCCTTGAAGATTCCCAGGATGCATCTGGCACTATGGCACGGCATTTTGCCAAAAAGTCAGACATAATTGAAGTCTTTGACAACAGTTAATCAAATCCACTAAAGGGCAATATAATTCCAATGTAATAAAGACATAAAAAGCAATGTTATTCTTTTTTTTTTAACTTGAAACCACATTTGCTGGAACTGGTCCTTGGCACTTTTTAAAAGTGTTTTAAACTGCTCTATAAATACAGTTGAGTTGTAGTTCCTGGAATTAAAAGTACTATTTTATTAACCTTAAACATAAGACACCAAAAAATCTTACTACAGTACAGCAAAAAAAGTCGTTGTACTCTTTTACTTCCCACTACTGTACTGCCAGTAATCTACATGATGGTCGTCTATATCAGTAATTCTCAAAAAAGTGCTAGTGGTAAGCAGGTTGTCTGAATTTTATTCTGCCAAATATTAAAATCATCTCCAAATCAAAATGAACGGCGAGTTTGAGTTTAACCATGTTGTTGTCCGTGATGATTATATGCACCAAACACTCACGTTAGCCCGCGTGCTAACTTTGGGAAACTTGTCGTCAACAAGTGATTGACAGGAGCCAGACCACGCCCCACCCCGCTGTCGCCTGACGCAGTCTGAGCCCCCCCTTCCCAACTCAGCCCAGGCGGATCTCCATTTTCTTCTTTTCCCTGCCAAGGAGCTCTGCCACACCAGAACCCCAAAGGCTTATTCGAAATGAATGACGAATACGACGTAATCGTCCTCGGCACCGGACTGACGGTGAGGAAATTCTTCAACAAGTCCGCTCGCCTCGCTTTTACAACCTGTTAACCCCGCTGTTAGCTCTTAAGGCTAACCGGGGCCTAATTAGCTTCGGCTCGCGCTAAGTAACTAGCCGAACACGAGAAGCTGGCTAACTCAACCGCCGCCAATTCCCCGTAATAGAAACATCCTATTAAAAAAAAAAGTGTTCATTTTAAGTTAGGTCAGTTGTTGCGGGGCTTCCAAGACTCGAAAGTATCGCAAGAAACCGGTTGGTTGGCAGTCAAGCGCAAGTAATGGCAACTCACTTAGTCGGGAGAAGATTAATCGTAGATTATTGTCGTGCTAACATTAGCCCATCTAATTTAAGGTAACCACGACTGGCAAAGACGACGCCTAAATGTCCAGTTGAACTTGTGTAGTTAGATTGTAACTTGTTTTTTTTTTTTTACTAGTGACAGTTCG